CCTATATACATAGGAATAAACATTTAAAAAATACATATTGTTTTGGCAATTTACTTTTCTCAGTTCACAAAATACTGTGGACATTTTAACATGTTAAAATCTACTTAATTGTTTTAAATCCCTGCCTAGTATTCCATTGTATGAATATCCCAAAATTTAACCAGTCTCTTACTAACGAGCATTTGGATTATTTCCAATTCTTTGATATTACAGTGTTTTTTTTAAATAAAGATTTTTTATTTTTTAATCTCTACAAAGTAGGGCTCGAACTTACAACTCTGACGCCAAGAGTCACATACTCTACTAAGCCAGCCAGGCGTCCTGATTTTATAAACAGTGCTGTTTTGAACACTGCAGAGCACATCTGTCATGTTTCAGACTACTCAGTACCTTCTAAACAACTTTCCTAGGCTTGAATTTACGAAGTCCAACTTTTTTTTCAACAGCACAAACTACCTTTCCAGCCTTTCTTGCAGTCTGGGGTAGGCATGTGACCTAAGTTCCACCAACCAAATGTACTACAAGACTCCCACAGGCAGTGAGTCAGGTGAGTGAGGGGATGTATGCTAAGCAGATCCCATTTTCTGGTGAAGGAAGTGGTTGAGATATCCCCCCTACCAGGGCAGCCCTAAGAGGTTTGATTGCTCCTGGCTGCCTAGCCAATACATCCTGGCCCTCTTGGAGACTTTGCAAGCTGTAATGTCCTTTAGTAAATCTCTTTCCATTGAAACATACTGGAGTAGGCTCTCCTGTTTGGAATTAAGAATTCTATGTGAAACAAACACCCCTATACCTATATATCTTTGCACATTTGTACAAATGTACTTATATGAAATTTTAGCAATGGAATGGCCAAATTTGTCTTCAAACAGATTATATCATTTTATATTCCTATCAACACTGCTTTTGAATGTACCTATTTTCCTACACTGTTGCTATGTAATAAGCCACCCCAAAACTAAGCGGTTTCAAATGATGATGACGTATTATCCCTCATGATTCTGTGGATTAGATGGGCAGTTGTTTTGGCTTGGAACAGCTCAGCTGGGGCTGATGGTCTAAGATGGTGTCATTCACATCCAACTGGGTGGGGTCTCACACTCAGATGGGAGGAATGGGATGACTAGGCCTATCTCTCCACATGATCTCTCATCCTCTACCAGCCTAGCCCAGGCTTCTTCATATGGTAGTCTCAGCTCCCAGAGGCAAGAGAGGGCAAGCCCCAATGTGTAAATGCTTTTTAAGCTTCTGCTTATTTCTTGCTTCTTGATGTCCCATTGACCAAAACAAGTCATATACCCAAGCCCAAATTCCAAGTATAAGAACTAGATACAACTCTTCAACTCTTGATGGAAGGGGCTGTTTTTGCTGTGGGCATATTTTAAATCTTCCACAGCTGGCCACGTAAAAAAATTTTCTTTTTTTAAAATTGGTGGGCTTAACACTGGCCACTTAAACTATTTTTTTAATGGAATGGGTTTAACTTTATTTCTTATTTAAAAAATTTTTTAATGTTTACTCCTGAGAGAGACAGACAGACAGACAGACTGTGAGTGGGGAAGGGGTAGAGAGAGAGGACACACAGAATCCAAAGCAGGCTCCAGGCTCTGAGCGGTCAACATAGAGACCAACATGGGGCTCAAACTTACAAACTGTGAGATCATGACCTGAGCCGAAGTCTGATGCTTAACTGAGCCACCTAGGTGCCCCGGGTTTAACTTTAGTAAGTTTCTATTCTTTTTTTTTTTTTTTTTTTTAATTTTTGTTTTCAATGTTTTTATTTATTTTTGGGACAGAGAGAGACAGAGCATGAACGGGGGAGGGGCAGAGAGAGAGGGAGACACAGAATCGGAAGCAGGCTCCAGGCTCTGAGCCATCAGCCCAGAGCCCGATGCGGGGCTCGAACTCACGGACCGCGAGATCGTGACCTGGCTGAAGTCGGACGCCCAACCGACTGCGCCACCCAGGCGCCCCAGTAAGTTTCTATTCTTGATCATGTGTGCCATAATTCTTTTATTCTATGCATGGAATTCTTTTATTCTATGCACATGCACATGGAATAGAATAACCCCATAGCCCATATGCATGGACTAATCATTAGCTTTCCAACAGAGCATCAGTAGACCACTACAGTAATTACTTTCTGGAAGGAACTCAAAGGTAAATTTGGAAATTTCTAGTTTCTAAAAAAAAATTAGCCAATCAGTAACTTTGACTTACTGACTTAATACTTTTGATGTCCTAATATGAAAAAAAGAGGAAATTAGTATACTCATACTAACATGCATGATTTTATTACTTGTATTTTTATATTCCATGACCATAATTCACACATGATATAGCCTTATTCTATTCTTAAATAGATTACATGCTCATCTTCGGTCCTTTTATATACTTCTCATATATCTGAATTCTCTTAAGGACCTTTAGTCCTCACATGCTGGCACACCCATTTATTCACCAGATATTTCGTGAGCACTTACTTGCGTTAAGCATTAAACAGAAATGGTTTCGGCACTCACAAAAGCTAAGTCTATATTCTACAGTTCCTCTCTTTTCTCTAATGATCTTAATTTGTCTATTTTTCCTCTTCACTTTGTTATTTTATCAAGCTTGAGGCTCTCTGAACAGACTTAAGTTTTAGCAGTGTCTATTCTACTCACTGCTTTGATTCAGATTTTTTATTGCGATGGTGGTTTTATTATTGTCTTCATTTTCTTTCTAGGGCTCTAGCAGTTCATTTTCTATCTGTATTTGCTAACTAAACTCCCTGGTCTCCCTGATCTTTTCTATTTAAGAGTTTTACTGAGGTATAACTTGCATATAACATTCATTCATTTTACGTGTACAATGCAATGATTTTTAACATAAATTTACAGAAGTATGCAACTATCACCACAATTCAATTTTAGAACATTTGTATCACCCCAAGAAGATCCCTCCTGCCCACTTCCCCAGACCTTTTATATAACTTCTCTGAGCTCTTCCCACCTCACCCTATTAACTTCTCTTCTTCTTAATTTTTTTTTTTTTTTGACAGTGCAGAAGAGTACTCGTCTAGGCTAATTCTTCTGAAGTATAATCCCCATCTATCGTTTGCTTATTACTATCTTTTCCTACCTTTTAAAAATGGTATTATCTGTCTCACATTAAATCTCCTTCTGCTTTAGTGCATCTTTATTTATTTATTTATTCATTTTAAGATTTTATTTTTAAGTAATCTCTATACCCAACATGGGACTTGGAAGTCACAGCCCTGAGATCAAGAGTCATATGCTCCTTCAACTGAGCCAGGCAGGCGCCCCTTTAGTTTATCTTTAAATGAAAACTTGAGGAAAAGAAGAAACACGACTGATAGAAAGGTGGCATGTAAGAGTCAATACAGTAGCCCAAAGTACAGTGGTGATGCTCAGCATTCACCACAATAACCTAGGACAAAAGGAAACAGACCACCTTGGCTTTTTTATGGGAGAGCAGAACCTAAGTCACAGCTAAAGAGAAGAGATATGGCGAAGACATTTCTTGAAATCAGTCAAGGTGATAAGGGAAGTAACCTCCAATATAATTTATAAGAGACATCTGAAGATATCAACTTGGGACTTAAATAGGAAGGGAGCTCTTTCAGATGAAGGTTGAAGGGTAGATCAATTTGTTTCCAGGAGAGAACAGTAATTTGGACTAGTCAGAAAGAACACATGGTTACAGACCTGGGATACATTCCACTAGGCTAAAGGGACAGGAAGTCAAATAGCTCTCTGAAGGGACAATGTAATGTTTGAATCTCTCCCCACTGAGGAGTGCTCTGATGATGAAATAGATACTTCCAGACACCACTGGAGAGGTATAAACCACAAAACCCACTCGGAAAGCAATTTTCAGCTGTGAATGAAGAGTAATAAAACAGATCATACAATTAATTAATAATATCCCTTTGAAGATTCTAAGGAAATTATCTCAAATTTGAGAAATTTATATGGATAAAAATGTTCCTACAGCATTATTTATAATAGTGAAAAGTTGGAGACATCCTATGTGACTAACTGTGGAGAAACTGTTAAGACAATCATATCCAGCCATATGCACACTTACCACTGTGCTACTGGAACATATGTTAACTTATATAGTATATGCTAATCTAAGCAGCATATAAAGTTATATGTAGACTGCAACTGTGAAGACATGCAGACAAAAAAGGCAAGGAATTCACAAAAATTATAATACTTAAACCACTGTGTTAGTGAGATTATGAGTAAATAATTATCCAATTTTCATTGTTGTTATATTACTTCCAATGTCTAGAGAAAAAAATAGTTCACCTATTAGTAGCAAGAATGAATGTCATTAACCGAGGTTAAGGTGGCTTAAGCATAGGAAAAATTATCTATAAGATACTCCAAGTACCTTGGGAAACAAATCATCTCCCCCCTGTAGTAAAGAGGAAAAGAAAGGCTGCCATGGGCATTCTTTTTTTTTTTTTTTTTTTAATGTTTATTTATTTGAGAGAGAGAGTACGCACGTGTGAGTGAGAGTGTGTGGGGGAGGGGCAGCAGGGAAGGGGCAGACAGAGAGGGAGGCACAGAATCTGAAGCAGGTCCCAGGCTCCAAGCTGTCAGCACAAAGCCTGACATGGGGCTTGAACCCACGAACCATGAGATCATGACCTGAGCTGAAGTCGGACGCTTAACTGACTGAGCCACCCAGGTGCCCCATGGGCATCCTTTTTTTATGGGAGAAGCCATTTCAAGTCCCACTACTCTAGATGGGCAACTTTTCAGTGCAAAAAAAAAGGGGTGAGAGGCTGCCAGTGTATAGGCATCTCCTGAGAACCTAGCACAAATCAAGCAATAACTGAGCATTCATTATATATAAGGTAGACTAATGCATTCCCGAAGACAATAACACGTAAAGATGTGTCTCCTTCTGGTGGGTGGGAGAAAATCGCTTTCTGTACACTTAAACCCATCACGTCTTGTGGGCTGGAGATAATCCGAAGTATGTACCTGTGGTCCATGTAGCAGCTCAGGGGCTCCACACACACCGTGATGGCACCAATGGTGAAGGAGGACTTGACATTTGAGTCTGGATGGGTCTGCAGGGCCTGGACAACATCAATGACATCTGTGTAGCTGGGAGTAAAAAAGAGAAAGATTAGTTTACTGACTGGGGCCGCAGAATGGGGGAAGAGGGGCACACTGAGGGGCTGAGTGAGCAAGAGTGGAAGGAAAACCACGAGGAGGTACCTGTGACTAGGTTCCTTGGGGTCATCCCACTTCATGATTCAGAGCCCGTCCCTGCATCCCACAGTGTTTCTGCATTCCCAAACTCCATTAGTACTCCTAACTGTGCAAGAGTGAGTGGAAGAAGCCCCCATCACTTCTAGGAGTGAAGGGAAGCCTGCAGATGACCCTGGCGCTCTGAAGGTGGGATTGGTGTCCTTAGGCCTGTTTTCCAATCAACCTAGGAGCTTCGATGTTGGTCTATTTCCTTTAATAGCTTTCCCCTCTCCTTCTGCTTCACAGAACATGCAGACAAGAGAGAATGGGGATCATCAGGTACCTCTGTAGGTCAGCAGACACATGTCAAACCCCGCTTGCATTTGTCTTTCCTGCTGGGAACTCCCTCTAAACTACAACTTCCAGAGCCAACTTTAATTATTTTTAGTTAGAATGTAATATGTTTATCATTTAACTCCCCCATGCATGCTCCTCCCAAGGCCTTGTCCTTCTCAGCAGAGGGGACTCCATTCTTTTAGCTGCTAGGCCAAAAAATTTGTTGCGTCGTCATTGACTCCATTTTTTCTCAATTTTTAAACTATAACTAGAATGAGATGGCTGCTTACATTCTCACACTGCTACTGGGCCAGGACTGTCACCATCTCTTGCACAGATCACCCCACAGCCTCCTCAGTGGCCTCCCTACTTTTTTAAAAAAAATTTTTTTTTCAACGTTTATTTATTTTTGGGACAGAGAGAGACAGAGCATGAACGGGGGAGGGGCAGAGAGAGAGGGAGACACAGAATCGGAAACAGGCTCCAGGCTCTGAGCCATCAGCCCAGAGCCCGACGCGGGGCTCGAACTCACGGACTGCGAGATCGTGACCTGGCTGAAGTCGGACGCTTAACCGACTGCGCCACCCAGGCGCCCCCCTACTTTTTTTTTTAATGTTTATTTTTCAGAGAGAGAGAGAGAGAGGGAGGGAGAGAGAGCGCGTGCACCCGTACACATATGCACACGCATGCGGGGCAGGGGCAGAGAGAGGGAGGCAGAGGATCTGACGCAGGCTCCACACTGATAGCAAAGAGTCCAATGTGGGGCTCAAACTCACGAACTGTGAGATCATGACCAGAGCCGAAGTCGGACACTTAACCGACTGAGCCATCCAGGTACACCTCACAGACCTCCCTACTTCTGTCCCTGGCCCTGCCCGACCTGTCTTCAACACAGAAGCTAGAAGGATCGTGCTGACCCCACTGTGCTAAGCCACGGAGTGGCTTCATCCCACTCAGAGTCAAAGCCCAAGTCCTTACAGGGCGCCTGGGTGGGTCAGTTGGTTAAGTGTCCAACTTCGGCTCAGGTCATGATCTTGCAGCTCGTGAGTTTGAGCCCCACATCAGGCTCTGTGCTGATGGCTCAGAGCCTGGAACCTGCTTCAGATTCTGTGTCTCCCTCTCTCTCTGCCCCTCCCCCACTCATGCTCTCTTTCTCAAAAATATTAAAAAAATTAAATTTAAATAAAATTAAAGAAAATAAAAAAGCTAAAGCCCTTACCTCAGCCCCCGTGGTGGTCTATGATCTGACTCCCACACTGCAAGGACTTTCTCCTCCTACTATTCCTTCCCTTACCTCAATCTACCCATCCTGACCTCCTGGTTCTTCCCTGAACATGCCAGGCATATTTCCACCCTGGCATTCTCGGTCCCTTCCTGTGGTGCTCTTTTCCACAGATATCTGCCAGGCTTGCTTCCTTGTTCCCTTCAGGTCTCTGCTCAAATGGCATCTTATGAGAGAGGGATCTTCTGACTTCCTGCAGCCTATGTGACACAGCAACCTTCCTTTTGGCACCACCGGTCCCCACGAAATTCTTCCCTACAGCACTGAACATCAGCTACATTGTATTTTCTCATTTATTTGTTTTTAGTCTGTTTCTGCAATAATAATGTAAAGTGACTGAATGGTGTACTCTATGTTGCCTAAGCAGGATAGATGAAGGAACTGGATGTTCAATCATGGGTAGACCCATGGCCACTCCAAGAAGGGGCCTTCCCTCTTTACCTTGTAGAGAACATTTTCCCAGCCTATCACCAAAAGGTCAGTTCCTATAGAGGGAAGGGAAATCAGAAGGCATCCTTACTGATCATAGGGGCCTGGGTCCTAGCCTGGGCCCTTGGGAAGCCAGTGATGGTGGCTGGGGGGAAAGGTATAGCCTGCCTGAGCCACTCCCTGAGTTTCTACAAATAATTCATCTGCAAAATGGCACTTGGCTTTATCCCAGACTGTAATATTCATATCCCAATCCCCAGGTCTGCCTCTGTCCTGACCAACTAGCAGTACTTCAATCAAGAACAGGGTGTGCCTGGTTTTAGAGCTTCCCCACGAGTGCCTGGTAGCCAGAGAGCTGTTAGAGTGAGCCCTCTGCTCCCCGGTTTCTCCCCCTGCCTGGGCGCACGTGTGGATGTCCACATGGGGTTCCTTCTCCTGGTTCTGCAGTGTCTAGTTAGGCCTGGATGCAAGAGAGCACCCCACACTGCCTGCATTGCCAGACGTTCTGCACCCTTGTTAAGTAGGACTGACTGATGCTTGCACACTGCCCCAAATCTCTTTGTGTTCATGTTTACCAGATTTAACCCTCCTGGTTAAGTGCCCCAGCCTTGCTCCTAAGCATCAGTTTTCTCTCTCTTCTAAAAATAAGTTTCGGAAGCTTTTTATTTTCCATGTCTGGTATGAGCCTAGAGAATCCTTTCTGAGGGCAGAAAAGAACTGAAAGATTTACCAAATCCTGGTCATTTTGGTCATTTTAATATCCTGGGTTTTCCTTCAGAGAGGGTGGCTGGTAATTCCCAGGTTTTCAGAGCATTCCATTTAATGGAAACAAGGCTGGAATGAAAACAGGCCCCAAAATCCTTGGTGGGAGCAGTGTTATCGAGGTGATGAATGTGGGCACTGCAGCCAGGAACTGCTGTGGCAAGACAGGAGGCCCTTGGTGTCTGTCACTCACTGTACTTGTTGTGGGGAGGAGGCTGCTAGGCTCTCCCTCCCTCCTCAGCCCTTGCCCTGTAATCATCCTGGCCAGGGCCTCCCAAAAGGAGGAGGCAGGCTTCACTACAGAAGGAAGCACACTGCTCCAGCTACCAGAGCCCGAACTCGATCACTTTGGCTAATAAACTGCCTCAAATGCATGATGAAGGAAAAAAAAAACCAAAAAAACAAAAACAAACACACACAAAAACCCCCGGTTCTTCATGTCTGCCTCTTTCTTGTCAGTTCTCTCTTTATTAAAAATAAAAGCAAAACAAAGAAACAAAACAAAACCCCAGCAGGATTTTTACTTTCTTTATTCTGAAACAACATACCCCATTCAACTGTCCTTTGGCCTCTGTTTTTTTTTCAACGTTTATTTATTTTTGGGACAGAGAGAGACAGAGCATGAACGGGGGAGGGGCAGAGAGAGAGGGAGACACAGAATCGGAAACAGGCTCCAGGCTCCGAGCCATCAGCCCAGAGCCCGACGCGGGGCTCGAACTCACGGACCGCGAGATAGTGACCTGGCTGAAGTCGGCCGCTTAACCCACTGCGCCACCCAGGCGCCCCTCTGTTTTATGTTTGCAATTTAAGCCTACAATTTGGGCATGTGTTTTAGATTAATAATTCAATTTTTGTTTTGAGAGAGACTTTAAGTGTAGATAATTTAAAGAATAATTTTTTACAATATTCTGGAGTATAAACAAATATAATCTCTCAAATTCCTTAAAATTATTTTTTTTTAATTCAGATTTCTCCAGTTTTATGTGTCTGTCTGTAAGTTCTAGACAATTTTATTACCTGCATAGGTTCCTGTATCTACCACCACCGTCAAGACACTGAACAGTTCCACCACCACTTGGTTCCCTTGTGTTGTCTTTTTATGACCACACCCACCTTCTTCCTACCTCCCACTCCCATCCCTAAGTCCTGGCAACCACCAATCTGTCCTCTATTTCTAAAATTTTATCATTTCAAAATACATTAATTTTTAAAAGAACAATTAACAGCTCCAGTGAATGTCAAAGCTCAACACCACTGCCCCACTGCTGTAGGAAGTCAAATGGAACCAGGCCACTCTGGGGACAAAAGAAAACTGCCCTAGACCACAGTGTTCCCCCATGAACCCTATAAATGAAGATAAAAGCCATATCCAGGGACTATAAATCTCAATTTGAGAAACCTCTGGAGTCTCCCTTCACTGGCAACCTCAATACTGGGCATGAAGGTCCAGTCCCAAAGAGATGGTCATGCAAAAAGGAGGCAGCCATGAGTTCCCTGCTGAGCCTCAAGAGAATGGGCCTGGCCCATAAGAACCATGTCTTAGCGAGAGCCATAGCATTTTGCTGGTATTTCCACTGAATCCCTCAGGAAAGCTGAGATCTCTAGCATCCTGGGACTTCGACTGCACAAAAGCTGGGTCTGAGAGTGGGCTGGCCATACACGGTCACTGCAGTCCAGCACAACCAGGGCAGCTGACACTTTTGCAGACCTGTACTGCCAGAGACAAGGAGTCAACGATGCTTTGTCAAGTGATGGAAGATGGAAATGCCCTCAGCTGCACAATGGCAAACTGCTGAATTTGACTCCAGGTCCACACTCCCAATGACTCTCAACTCTGGCAGGGACCAATCCATTCCTTTGACCATCAGAAGTGATGGAAAGCCAGAAGAAAACAAGTGGTTTCAAGCCTAGACTCTTGCTCTGTGGCTTTCATGACCTCAGCCCACAAACAGGACAAAAGGGCTGACAGAAGGGAAGGCCAGGGCAGGTGTGAGAACAAGGCCTGAAGAAGAGGAACGACGGCTTGGTGGAGTGCACAATGCTGTCCACCTCCTGACTGAGGACCACCAGCCCAGCTTTTCTCCACTTCTCACCATCCATCCGCCCAGGAAACCCAACAGAGCTTTGGATCTGGGCCTGCTCTCTACTGGAAACAATTAGCCAATTGCAAACAGTAATTATTATGAGCACAAAAAACATAGCATAGCACAAAAGCGCTTTGTGAGAACTGCCAAAAGCTTCCGTATTACCAGCCATCATCAAGACCACAGACTATGTTTTCCCTGACCTGGCATGCTCTCTTCTGGGCCTGGGGGGTGGTGGGCCTGCATAGGGCTCCTCCCTGGAAGGCCTTAGAACAAACAGGTCGAGGTAAACTCCTTTCAGCCAGGGTCACTGAAGCAGTGGTACTCACTCTGTCCAACCTATCCTCACAGGGAGCTTCCTGCCCAACTGGACTATTCATGTTCCCCACTGAGGGTCCCAGGAAAACCTTCTGGACCAGCCATCCTGGGAATGGTGGGGGTCGAGAATGCAGAGGATAGGGGCTGCCTCTGCAACTCCACATGAGAGAGGATTGAAACAGACAGCAAAGGAAGAGACCTCAGGGCCATTACTGTTACAAGAATTATCAAAGAATCTTGCTCAGAGAATCTCTTCCCTAATTCTCTACCGTGAGGATAGAGAATTTTGAGGATACCATCATGCTGAAACCAAACTTAAAACTTGTGGGAAAGCTACAGCAGCTCTCTGGGCCACAAGATGGTAACCGGAGTCCTTGCTTGTCTGAGGCCTCTCTGGGTAGTGCAGACTCTGCTCATGCAAATGTGGAGGTCATTCTGTGTCCCAGGCTAGCCACACACAAAATACAACAGTAATGGCAAGGTCATCACCATTCCCATTGTCCCCGGAAGACTTCCAGTGCTCACCCTTGCAACACCACTAGCAGTCGAATCTTCTTGCGGATGTAGGCTGACTGGCGGGCAGAGCGGTTCTGCTGGGCCTCCAGGACACTGGAAAGGTATCTCTGGAAGTGGGCAGCATGAAAACATTCGGAGCTGTCCATGATTTGGCGGTATACCATCCACCTGGAAACGGCAAGTATAATCTCAGCATGGGGGCTGCCTGATGGCCGGGCCCCACAGACTCAGCCAGTGGATCCAAATGTGACCAGTACTTCCACAGACATTCTGCCCAGTGACCCCGCACAGGAGGCCTGGGGAGCTCCGTATCCTGAAACCACTATCACTGGAACTTTTGACAGGAAATGCCTTGCCACAGGGGAAAAGGTCAGGTAAGCACATGACCATTAATCAGACTTCAGAATTGAGAAAGACTCCTTATGACTGGGCAGTCATTTCCTGAAGGACCATCCAATAAAATGGCTTCAGTCTGGTGCTGAGTAAAATTTTTGCTAAGAAGTGAGCAGGGTGAAGAATTCAGACTATTTCTACAACAAAAGAAATGGAAACAAGGGAAGAACTGGGTAGCTACTTAGTACTTGTAAGAAGACCAGTATTTCTGGAGCATCTCTGTAAAACTTGTCCAACCTCCCACATCTCCCTAAACTCCCAAACTTCTAGGTGATTTCCATCTTCTCCATCTTTTCCATCTTCCTTATGGCCTCCTGCAGGATGCCTTACTTCGAGGTAGACTGACTAGATATTAAATGCCTGTTCAGTTAGCCAGGGATGTTTAGTAATCTGCCAGCCATATGAAAGTGATGGATGAATGATCTTCCCAATTTCCCCTAAGCCAACGTGTCCCAGATGCACTGGAACGGATGCAGTCCCCTTGTGGTCAGGGACGGATCACACCCACCAGCTCCCAAGTTCTAATCACCCTGGTCCTGAGTTGCCCTGTTAACCAGGCACACTCCCTGGCCTTTGCCTGTGCTAGTTCTGCTGCTACAGTGCTTGTCTCCAGATTTCCAAAGACTCACTCCTCTCATCTCCTCAGGCCTCTGCTCAAATGCCAGCTTCTCAGTGAGGTCTTCCCTGAGCACCCAATTTAAAACTGGGACCTCCCTCCCAGCTTGGCAATCCCTATACCCTTCTCTACTTTGTTATCTCTGTGGCACTTTTCACTAGCTAATATACTACTTTCCTTGTCTGGTTAATTGTCTTCCTAAACTAGAATGTAAGGTCCACAAAGGCAGAGAATTTTTAGTCTGTTTTTTTTTTTTCATTTGTCGCCCACACTTAGAACAATGTCTGGCATACAGGACGTGTTCAGTATAAATGTGTTAAATGAATGGATGGATGGCTCCTGTGCTAATACCAATCACACCAAAGGCCAGTACATGTTGAAGGTTTCCCAGTGCCTATGTGGGACCAGGCATAGAATCCCTTTCCCCAAAGCAAAGGCAGCAGCCGTACTAACCTGCCATATTCCTTATGCAGAGTGACCAGGAAAGCACAGAGCTCGCTAGCATGACAGCCTGGGAGGCCAGTTACAATGCTGATAGTTACCTACATGAAAGAAAAGTCACGTGAGTTTGTCATTCAACAGGGAGGCAGCGTTGTGTAACAGGTTAAGAGAAATGATTTCTGGAATCAGGTTCTGTGGGTTTGAACCTCAGCACCAGCACTCACCTAGATATATGTCCTTGGGCTAATAACAGAACCTATCTTGCAGGTGGGTGTGATGGTTAACTGAGTTAATATATGTAAAGTGTTTAGAACAGTGTGTGTGGGACATAGCAAACACCACGTAAAATGTAGTGTTACTAATATAATTTCTATGCAGCAGGCTTGACTAGATCAGTTAAAATACCATGGAAAACACTGGGCAGAAAGGAGGTCTGAGACAAAGTGCCACAGGCTAAACTGGTGTGGTAAGTAAGCTCAGCCAAGGAAGAGGAGTGGCATGGGGATGTTTCTGTCTGGCTGCCCAATCCACCCAAGCCAAATGGCCTGAGCTAAGGAAGCAAACAGAATGTAGGAAGTACGTCTGAATCTTGACTAGGTGAAGAGCAGGTTGGACTGTCTTAGCCTTAACACACAACCAGATGAAAACAGGACCCTCTGCAGGTATGTATTCTGAAGCAACTTAAAGAAATCCAGTGACAGAGAAGAGGTGGAGCAGGGGAGGAAAGGAACCATACACCTACTGAACAGTATCAATGTAAATTTTTAAAACAATTTTTTAATGTGTATTTATTTTTTGATATAGAGACACAGAGTGCAAGTGGGGGAGGGCCAGAGAGAGAGGAAGACACAGAATCCGAAGCAGGGTCCAGACTCCGACCTGTCAGCACAAAGCCCAACGTGGGGCCTGAACCCACAAACCACGAGATCATGACCTGAGCCGAAGTTGGATGCTTAACCGGCTGAGCCACCCAGGCACCCCTCGATGTAAATTTTTATTTCACAAGACTCACTGGGATGGGCCTGGTCACAGATGAGTTAGATTAAAGCTTAGCTGGTGGCAGTTACCACTCTAGTTGGTCACATCAGCACAAAGATGGCTGTGGATCTCTCTTCTTTTGTGGGAACCAGAAGTTTTCCCTCCTCCCTTCCAACCAGGCTCCTACTCTATATCCCTTACTGTCCCCGTGGGCAGTATTCCATGCAACTTCTTGTTTATCCTCCTCCCCACCCTGGTCCTATTCCTCAGCGCCCAAGTACCTGGCTCTCAAATCACAGCACATGTGCTTATAGCCAGACACCGTCTTACTTTAAGGCCAGTCCTATAGCACCCTTTTAATGAGTAGGCATTTTCATTTTAAACTCTTGCCTTAGGGAAAAACCAGGCTTCTAACTGCTTGGTACTCCTATTTTCTTTTGCAGGTGAGTGTCTTCTAGATTTATGTATAAATAAATGCCCTCTTGGAGTATATTATGACTTCTGGTTCCAGAGAAATGGTGGGAGGGGTCAAAAGGAGGGGCATGTGAGGTGGGAGCAGATTAAAATCCACTCTTGGGAAGACAGTGTTTATAAAGTATCACCTTACCCTAGTGATGCCAGCAAGGCCCAATAAGGCCCTTCCTCTTATTAAGCTCAATGTGTCACCCACTTCCAGGTAAGTCCTTGTCACAAACAGAAAAGGCTGATGGGATGAGAGCACTGAGCAAGAATCTGAAAGACGTGGAGAAGCCAGGGGAGGGCATGGCAAGGTGCTAGGGCTTTATGGCTGCTACAGGGCTTGGCTGGGGTCAGTACAGACACCTGTACACAGTCACTGTACAGAGTAGGTTTCCTGTATATCATTACATCAGTATCCTAGGAGGTGGAGAGTCTTACAAAAGGGACCCTGCTTGAGCTCTTTTTGTTAACTGACACAGAAGATCAAAGGGCAGGCTATCAGGCTTATCTTCCTGTGAATTCCCAGCATATTTGCTGAACTGCTGTACCTTGTCATTTTCTACTCGGTGAGAAGGGTTGATTTCAGCTTGCTGTAGCAGGACTGGGAGATGGGTCCTCATCACAGGCTCTCGACTAATGCTGCTGATGGCAAAATGCTGAAGAAACCTAGAAAAACAAAGACAATGCTAATGTTACCACTGCCAGCCTTGCCTGAATGTGCTCCTTCACATGAGAAACGCCTTATCTAACTGCTAAAAAAGAAACCTTAGACAGATACTCTCTAGAGAATAAAACTATATGGTGTGTCACTACTACTGTTTACACTGATCCCTAAGAAGCTACAAAGAAAAAGCAGCTTAAATTTTTTTTTTAATGTTTATTTATTTTTGAGACAGAGAGAGACAGAGCGCGAGTGGGGGAAGGGCAGAGAGAGAGGGAGACACGGAATCTGAAACAGGCTCCAGGCTCTGAGCTGTCAGCACAGAGCCCGATGCGGGGTTCGAACCCACGAACCGTGAGATCATGACCTGAGCCGAAGACGGACGCTTGACCGACTGAGCCACCCAGGCGCCCCTGGAAAGAGCAGCTTAGAAAGGACCAACGCTGGGGTCTCTGACATTTCAAAAGCCAGACCATGAAACATCTATAAACAGAAAACCAGAGCTCACCAGTCCAGCTCTGGGAGTTTGGCTGGGAGTAGCTTTAGAGGACTCCGTTTCTCCCCAGCAGAATGGCTCAGGACACTGAAGAGCTTCTGCGCACTGGAGTGTCTGGAATAGCAAAAGCTCACAGATTAGAACTCCATCTCCCTATAGCACCACACTTTACATAACTTGATGCTTTCAAGCCAGAGTCTTGTGACAGAGTCAACACTTCCAAAATAAGCATCTCAATGACTTAAACACAGTGCGGTATTAGTGTGTGACAACTGGTGTACCCAGAGAGGAAGGCTTGCCTGAAACCCTTGGTAATATTACAGGTTTCTGATTCTTGGTGGATTTCATCTCTCTTGACTTCTGTTTCCCCAAGGGCACTGGCTACCTGCAAGTGGCAGCACTGAAATGACTGTGCTGGCCCTTTCAGAAGCCAAGACCCCTGTGTTACATAACGTAAGTCGTCCTGCAGAGAGAGCAGACACACACAGCTTAGGGAAACAAGCATAAACACTGAAGGCAGCCACTTACAATCTCTTTTGTTCCACAGATAATCCATCTTCCTGGATCACTTTTAAAGACAGCCCTGAGTTAGCCTGCTGTTGCCAGGGGGAGAAGACCTAAACAAAACAGAATTTGAGCAAAGAACACTTTAAACCCAACAACAGGATATGGAATCCACATGGGGATTTGATGGTTGTTGAAAATCTAGACTGTCAGGACAGAGAAAAACCATCATAACAAACAAGTTTGTTTCAAAAATAGACGCCTGAAGCAATTTTGTTCTGTATTTTTCAAAACTAGAATTTCTTTCTGGGTTCCTCTCCCAGGGATTCTGTTCCTTCAGAAGCCAGGAAGCACGGAGGAAGGTGTCAGGTAACACTGTTCTGGCAGCATAGGCATGTTCTTCCCTGGTGATAGGGCCAGACAGAAGGAGCAGTTCAAGCAAGTCCTGTTTAGGGGCACAGAGATAGCTGAGAAGAATCTGAAGTGCTATCTCTATGTCCCTGGATTGAAAGGACAAGCACAAGGAGGTAGGAAAGATGAGCAGGCAGTAAGAGTAAGACATAGACTAGCCTGAGAGGCCACTCTGCAACCAGGCCAACCCTTCTCTCTTCCATATTCTGTCAATCTGTCCTGAGAGAGGGACACTGTCCCCTTATAAGCTGCTGCAATCAGACCTTTCCGAGCATTTCCACCAGTCATGAGGCTGGCCATGTGTTTAACTTTGGCTACGGCATGGTCTCTAAGTGGGTTGTGTAATTCTTGGTAAGCTCTCTCACTCATGCAACCTGTACTGAGTGCCTATAACATGCAGACTGTCAGGTGGGACCATTCACAAGGGCAGGGCTTGTGAACCATGGGCAGAGACTGGGGAGGGCTAGAGAGCTCTTATCCAATAGGTATGGCCCAACAATTCAATAAAGTAGCTAAAAGAAAAATGACTCTAATTAGGATTTAAAGGGACAAAGAAGATTTGTCTTAGCAGCTAAAAAGCCTTTTGTTTGGGTCTTTTAGGTTCTCATCTCCCAATGGCAAAAGCACCATTCCAGGACCCACAGGGATTAGAAGCAGCCACTTCCACCATCCCAGCTCTGCCTCTCATCACCTCACTGTTAGCCCTGTGATGTGGCCTTACCATCTAAACTCCTAAGGAAAAGAAAAGTACTTGTTTTGCTAATGATTGGTGTTACCTCTGAGTAAAATGCTTGGTATATCTTTGATCTGGGGAAAAGGGCAATCATCAGAAAATTGCTTGATCCATGGAAATGAACTGGGAGATGAGGAAGCAGAGAACTTTTGAACTCTATCAGAAGGGCAGCAACAACACTGGTGGAATCCTAAAGAGAAAAAAGAGGGAGCATCAGTGAGAAAAGCCATCTGCATGACACTAGTCCTCATGATTACTGTCAGAACACATATAATGAATTTCATTGCAATTATTTTCACATTATGTGATATACTAGGGTTCAATGATGGATGGCTGGAATTATGGAATTATGGTATTGGCTTTCCAATACCCAGTTATGGGAGATACAGGAAGTACAAGGGTCTTTTCTCCTAAACTGAAAACGTCACCTCAAAACTCTTTCTATGGTATTAATCCCTTATCAGATTTACAATCTTTTTAAAAACAATCTCTATACTTAATGTGGGGCTCAAACTTATGACCCCAATATCGAGTTGCATGCTCTACCAACTGAGCCAGCCAGGCACCCTACGATTTGTAAATATTTTCTCTCATTTTGTGGGTTGTTTTCACTTTCTTGCACTTGTACTTTGATGCACAGAAGTTTTCAATTTTGATGAAGTCCAATTTATATATTTTTTCATTTGTTGTCTGGGCTTTTGGTGTCATATTCAAGAAATCACTGCCTACTCTAAGGTCAGTCATGAGGATTTTGCTCCTGTGTTTTATACTCAGAGTTTAGTAGTTTTGGCTCTTCATTTAGGTCTATGCTCCATTTTGGTTGATTTTTGTATACGGAATAAAGTAAGGATCTAACTTCATTCTTTTGCATGTGGATATCTAATTTTCCCAGCACCATTTGTTGAAAAGGCTGTCCCTCCCCAATGAATGGTCTTGGCACCCTTGTCAAAACTCATTTGACCATATATGCAAAAGTTTATTTCTGGGCTATTTTATTCTATTGGTCTGACCTTATGCTAATACCATACGGTTGTTTGATTACTGTAGCTTTGTAGTAAGTACTGAACTCAGGAAGTGTGAGTCCTTCCACTTTGCTCTTTTCAAGATTATTTTGGTTGTTTGGGCATACCTTGAGGCTCCATATGAATTTCAGGGTGGGTTTTTCTATTTCTGCAAAAAATGCCATTGAATTTTGATAGGGACTGCACTGACTCTGTAGATCACTTTAGGTAGAATTGTGGTCTTAATAATGTTAAGTCTTCCTACCCATGAACATGGGATGTCTTTCCATTTATTTAGAACTTCTTTAATTTCAGCAATGCATTGTAGTTTTCAGCATATAAGTCTCCACTTCTTTGGGTAAATCTATTCTTAAGTATTTTATTCTTTTTGGTGTTATTGTAAATGGAATTGTTTTTTTACTAACTTTTTCAGACTGGTCATTACCAGGGTATACAAATACAACTGATTTTTTGGTGTCAATTTTGTATCCTGCAACTTTGATGAATTCATTTATTAATTCTAACAGGTTTTTTTTTTTTTTTTTTTTTTTTTTTTTTTTTTATTTTTGGGACAGAGAGAGACAGAGCATGAACGGGGGAGGGGCAGAGAGAGAGGGAGACACAGAATCGGAAACAGGCTCCAGGCTCCGAGCCATCAGCCCAGAGCCTGACGCGGGGCTCGAACTCACGGACCGCGAGATCGTGACCTGGCTGAAGTCGGACGCTTAACCGACTGCGCCACCCAGGCGCCCCAATTCTAACAGGTTTTATGTGTGAATCTTTAGTGTTTACTACATATAAGATCATTCCATCTGTGAAGAGAGATAATTTTACTTCTTCCTTTCCAATTTAAATGCCTTGTAATTCTTTTTCTTGCCTAACCACTCTAGCTAGAACTTCCAATACTATATTGAATAGAAGTGGCAAAAATGAGCATTCTTGTCTTGGTCCTGATCTTAGGGAAAAGCTTCTTTAAAAAATTGTTTTCATTATAAAAATAACATGTTCACTAATTAAAGTTTTGAAAAAATATAAAAATAGAATAGAGAAAGTTAAAAAAAAAAGTCAATCCAAAGTTCCATAGTCTAAACCCAACCACATCTAACATCTTAGTAATTTTCCTTCTAGTCTTTTTTCCTATTCATTTACTGACTTGCCTTTTTCAGGCAGTGCAAAATTGTATTTATCTTTCTAATTCCATACCTTGCTTTTATTTTATTTTACTTTACTTTACTTTATTTTATTTTATTTTTTGAAGATTTTATCTTTAAGGTTACCAGGGTAGCTCAGTCGGTTAAGAGTCCGACTCTTGATTTCAGCTCAGGTTATGATCTCATGGTTCGTGAGTTTGAGCCCCAAGTCAGGCTCCATGCTGACAGCCTCTCCTGTGCATGTACACTCTCTCAAAATAAATAAACTTTAAAAAAAAAAAAAAAAGGAGAGAAAGAGAGAGAGAGAGAGAGAGAAGTAATCTTTACACCCAACATGGGGCTCAATTTACAATCCAGAGATCAAGAGGCACATATTGGACTGACTGAGCCAGCCAGGCACCCCCCAGGACCCTGCTTTTAAAACTTCATTTACCATCAGCACCTGCCAACTTGCTACAAACTATCTGTGAATATTTTCAAAGATTGCATCCCACTATCCTCTAAAGCCACCCCTATGGCTGGACATTCATATTACTTACTGCATTTCTCCTTGCCAATAGAACCTTTTATTTATTCTTTGCCAATTTACTGTTTTACATGGTAGTGTGAGGCTGTTTCTGATGTACTTCCATATATCTGCTAACTAACTTCATGTTAATACAGAATTATTAATAGAAAATAATTTGTTCTAATCACCAAAAACATTTTATCCAGTTTACTTTTTTACTTTTTAGTAAATTCTCTCCTTGAGACTTTCTAGAGTTTCAAATTATAAATTAGTCTGATAAATTTTGTTATATCCAAATAATGAAATACCATTCGGCAATAAAGCAACAAGAAGAAACAGACTATTGATACAAACATGGGTGAATCTAAAAATCATTATGCTGAATGAAAAATGCCAGACTCAAAAGGGTACAGAATGTATGATGTCCATTTATGTAACATTTTATTTTATTTTATTTGCTTACTTTGAGAGGGAAAGTGAGTGTGTGTGCACACATGCAGGGGAGGGGCAAAGAGAGAGGGAGACAGAGAATTCCAAGCAGGCTCCACACTCGGTGCAGAGCCCAATGTAAGTCTTGATCCCACAACTGTGAGATCATGACCTGAGCCGATACAAAGAGTCAGATGCTTAACTGACTAAGCCATCCAGGAGCCCATATTAGAACTGCAAACTGATCTACGGTGACAGAAAGCTAAGTGGTAGTTGCCTGAAGCCAGAAGTGGAGGGAAAGATGAACTGCAAAAGAGCATTAAAAAAGTTTAGGGGTAATGGAAGTCATCTGTATCTTGACTGTGACAGTGGTTTCACAAGTATATACATTTATCAAAACTTTAAATGGATATAGTTAACTGTATTTAAAGTATCCTTCAATAAATTAAATTATTGGCAATCCTGCCCCATGGTGGAGGAACAGGGACAGGGAGTTATTTGGTTTTCACCTCAGAAGTGTGAGTATCCTTCTGAACATCAAAGCCATGGACTGGTAAAACACCTACCCCATCATAGAATAAAATGGAATTCATGTGATCCTTGGAAAGGACGATACTTCCGTGATGACGGTGAGAAAACAGAAGACCACTAGAGAAGAAATGCACTTTCCCTGGAAGGAAAAAAGAGCTGGTCAGAGCTGGAGGGTTGGATCTTGGGGGCTAGATCCCAATGTCCTTCAGGTACCAGGGCAAACCACAGTGGTAACTAGAGACTAGTATCTGTAATGCTTAAGTTACACAATTTTTCTTAAATGTTTTTATTTATTTAATTTTTGAGAGAGTGAGAGCATGAGCCAGGGAGGGGCAGAGAGAGATGCAGGACAGAGGACCTGAAATGGGCTCCGTGCTGATAGCAGAGAGCCCAATTCAGGGCTCAAACTCACGAACTGCAACATCATGACCTGACCTGAAGTTGGACGCTTAACTGACTGAGCCACCCAGCACCCCAAGTTACATGACTTTTATGCTGAGCCCCGTGCTCTGGGGAAGCTGATGTACACTCCTAGAGCTTCAGAGAGAAATGAGGCATCACAGTCTTTGTACGCAAATTAGAAAAAACAAGTACGTTATCAGCTGATGGGGAGAGGCAAAATTCACATTGACTTGTGGGTGTCTTCTACGGGAACACACTGAAAAAGACTTTGGGGTATGTTTGTTCTACTGCTGAGTTTAAAATTTTTTTTTTTTCAACGTTTATTTATTTTTGGGACAGAGAGAGACAGAGCACGAATGGGGGAGGGGCAGAGAGAGAGGGAGACACAGAATCGGAAACAGGCTCCAGGCTCTGAGCCATCAGCCCAGAGCCTGACGCGGGGCTCGAACCCACGGGCCGCGAGATCGTGACCTGGCTGAAGTCGGACGCTTAACCGACTGCGCCACCCAGGCGCCCCTGCCGCTGAGTTTATAAACTCTGCTTCCTCCTATTTTGGCAGAAGGTGGCTTGGCTCTAAAGAGACCACATCCCTCACTTAAGGCCCAACAAGAGCAGTAGGGTCTCAGCTGAAGGACAGTAAAGGGAGCCTAAGGGTCCCTGTGGCCAGCAAAGGAATATTTGAGTTAGGCAATAAGGGGATTCTATACACACCAGAGACCTGTTGTTCTATATTCACAAAAGATGGGTGGGATATAGACACTAGAGGTGGTTTCTTCAGTTCCGAGGATTCAGGTCTAAGGAGAACTGTTGTTTTCTGGGTGGTCAAGGTCATACAGAATCGCTCACTATGGGCCCTAGGGGGCAGACCAAGAAAGGATGGAGAGCTAAGATGACAAGTGTTAAGGCTGGGTTTGGAAACTGAGATGAAGCACCCAGAGCACCCATAAGACTACAGAGGGCAGAAGACAAAGAAGAGGGACTGATTCCTTGAGCTGTAGCTCTAGGAATGCAGCCCCAAAGCTTGAGATTATAATGACAAGAAGAACAAAGGCAAAGGTGAGGAATTCTGGAGACTTCAAGTTTTCCTGAGGAGGTGTGGTTTCAGGAGGCAGAAAGGCCTAATTGAGTTAAGTGTGCTGGAGTGTGCATGTTAATGGGGCATGAAAAGAAATAGGGGAGGTAGAGGCAGCTTTTAGGTACAAGAGGAAGGTTTGGAGCCTGAATACCAATAGACAAACTAGATGCTCAGTTAGAGGGAAATAGTGCTAACCTTAGCATCTGGGGCAGCAGCAGCTGCCCAGTTTAAGGCATCCAGGTTCAAGGCCTATAAGCCTCACAACCTCTAACAAGTAGAGCCTGACCTCTTTTGCACATAGGCTTGCCCTATAGGCTTCTTGAATAGAAGCCACCCACCACCCAGCTTCATCCTGTATCAGTGCCAAGGTTCTTCATGGCTGCTCCCAGACCATTTCCTTCCATGATGGCACAATATTTTCATTCCCTCAGACACACAAGCCCTTTCTTCCCTTCAATGCTCACAATGACTACCCTCCTAATCATGCCACAATGTTTCAAACAACCAAGACTTCCATCCCTTCTTAGAGATCCAGGGGATGACCCACACCCCATTCTGGACACACTACTCCTCAATCCCAATGCCACAGCAGTAAAACAGAACCCAGGAAATCTTAACCTCTGAAATTTTCAGCTCCAGAACCTACTCTTGGAGTGCAACATCCTATCATCCTTTTTGCTATCTCACTTCCCAAATCTTATCCTCTGATGTCACTGAGCTTTTGAAACCTCAGGCCCCCAGTTTTCCCCTACTGCTCAGAAGTTTCTGACTTTCCTCTCACCCACATCTAGGGCAGATCTTCCAGGACAGGGCATACTTTAACTTCTGTTTTCTTAGGGAAGGGGATGGGAACAGATTCTGCTCAGTATTTACTAATTACACTAACTGCACCAAGCACATCATATACATTATAGTTTTCCATCTTCCCAACAAATTTAACAAGTAATCTTCTTCTTACAGGACTGATGGGGAGACACAAGCTTAGAGAAGTTTCTCCCCAAAGTGACAGAACTATGTGCAGTGCAGCCAAGGCACTGTGGCACCTGGGCCCCTCTGGTTCTTACCCGGCTTCTCCCCACTTGGCTCTCTCCAAATGGCTCCCTATGGCTGATCTGACGATGTGCTCTCTCTGCTTCTTAGCCTCAAGAGGCCCACAGCGCTGCCGCAGTCCTTCCTCTGCTCTCTCAGCTCCTCTAGTAGCTCCCCAAGTCCCAGCCAAGATTTTCAGCACTCTCCTCATGTCATGACCTCACTGATTCTAGCCACAAGATAACTCTACCTACTGTTTACAGAGAAAAGAGAGGTCAACAGGTATTAGGTTAAGAACTGCTCCCCTACTACTGCTTAGTATCGGTACCCTTCCAGGTTCTGGGCTCACCCTCCACCTCTGTAGCTCCAATAAGACGCTTCTCAGAAGCAAGAACAGTGCCACTCAAAGGCCTCCTAGACAAATCTCAACATCCTTCCAAAGCTTCCAGAAAAGAGCACAGATGTGAGAGGTCATCTCCAATATTTCCTTTCTCTCTAGACTCAAGCTTGAAATAAAATGGAAAAGACGAAGACAGAAATTCATAAGGCAGTGTTGGAAAAGCACTCATTTTGGGGCCTGGCCCAGGGCAAGAACACAGTAAACAGAAACTGATTTTAGTACTGGCGCAAAGAGATTGCCCTGTGTCGCAGCGACCCCTCGGCCTGGCTCTGGGAGCAGTAACTTTCATTATTCTCAGAGCACACATGAAATGTGACTCACTGGGTGGCCGAGTGCCTGTTACCTGGTCTCTGGATCCTAATCCACATGAAGTAAAGACACTTCGAGTATCTGCTCTGGACTCAGGACTGTCAGACTTCAGTCTGAAGGGAAATGCCTTTGTAGGGGTTTCTCAGTGACCATGGGAGCCAACTCCTGATGAGATCTCCTTGGCTCCTTGTCTCATCCCCAGTGCCCTTACTGAATGGCCTCTCTCATTCCTTCTCCATTCTGTGAGTCTAAAAACCCCAAGTAAGAGCAAGTTCCCCTTCACTACCCAAGAAGCAGGGGACTGAGGCCTGGCTCTGTCTTTGATTGACCTCTGTATCACCAGGAGTCCAACAGAAGGATGAGCCCTCAGGCAAACAAGACACCAAGTGCCAATGAAGAATTTGGCTTTTCCTCCTTTAGAAAACTGGCTGTACAAAGAAAACTCCTCCAGTGGTCCAGCCTGTGTGAAGAGGGAACATCTATCACTGCTGAGGAACTATGATACAATGGCTGGATAATTTTCATTCTGTGTGAGAGTGTGTGAAATGTACACGTATGGTTTAAAGAAAATCAGTAACAACAAAATCTCAACGCCTGTACACTCACCACTCAGACTAAGAAATCCAGCATTGCTAGTACCTTTGAGGCCTCCCAAATGTCCTTTCTCAATGGCTCTCTCTCTTCTACCCAGAGGGAACCAACACCCCGAATTCCATATAATTTTAATGTATTTCAGTGTATCTATAAACTATTCATTATTTGGTCTCATCTGTTTTGCTTTCATATAAATAGAATTTTACTTTTATTTTTTTATTAAAAATTTTTTAAATGTTTATTTTTAAGAGAGAGAGAGCAAGTGAGTGTGGGGGAGGGGCAGAGAGAGAGAGAGAGAAGATATGAAGCAGGCTCCACACTGACAGCAGAGAGCCTGATGTGGGGCTTGAACTCATGAACCGTGAGATCTTGACCTGAGCCAAAGTCGAATGCTTAACCAACTGAGCCACCCAGGCGCCCCTTTATAAATAGAATTTTAATAAATGTGTCCTTCTGTGATTTGCTTACTACTCTCAACATCTGTTCCTGAGTCATCTATGCTGTAGGTAATATGCAGCTATATAATCCATTCACGTTAAGTGCTGCAGAGGACATTCTCTCTACGGCATCCCTGGCTAGCTTCATGTGGACATAAGGGAACACACAAGAGGGTTCAGAATGAAGTCAGCAGATTAGCAGTTGCCCACTGCCTAGGTCTTCCCAGCATAGGAGGGTGGGACTCAGCTTGGGAACCAGAGTTCTCAGGATGTGTCCACTGCCCCATGTGCCGATGGGACTGGCGTCCCTGTGCCTCAATGCTGAACAATCTCTGCTCAGTAGAAAAAAACACTCCGTGTTCTTTAAAGCCCTACAGGGACAATGAAGGATCTGCCTGAGAGCCAACCATTCACTGAAGCCTGTAGGAAATAGTAAATACGTACAGTTAACTGATATTCAACAAAGGTACACAGACAGATCGAGGAAAAAGGAGTCTTTTCAATAAATGGTACTGGAAAAACTGGATATTCCTATGTAAAACAATGAACATCAACCCATACCTTGAATGAGACTTTCTGCCCATTCCCACCAGCCACAGCAGAAAGCCTCGTATTTCACAGGGATGTCTGGTAGAGTACTCAGAAGGCCTCTGCCTCAGCAGTGGGGTAAAATTAGCCCTAAATTAAATGCTGTTCTGCCACCTGGCTAACAAAGTTTAAAAGCAAGGCCAGATAAGACTAGAAGAAAGTATATTAAAAAAATTATTATAGGGGCTGGGTGGCTTGGCTGGTTAAGCTTCTGACTTTGGCTCAGGTCATGATCTCACAGTCTGTGAATTTAAGCCCTACACCGGGCTCTCTGTTGACAGCTCAGAGCCTGAAGCCTGCTTCAG